TACTTACCTGTTGGACTGTCGTCCAAGTCGGTGAGCTTAGCATGCAGTGCAGGACCCAGTCTGCTGGCCACAGTCCGGTTTCACCTGCTGCCCCCTCACCATGGCCAGCGGCGTCCTCCCGGTCCACATAGCTCTCCAGCACTTCTGTGTGGCCGTTTGTTGAGCCCCTGGGAAGGCGTTTGGGGTGGTAAGTGGGCGGCACTGTGGTCCCTCCCCACCCGTCTCCTCCCGGCTGCTGGTCCTCTGGGTTGTCCCCAGTCCTCTGGGTTGTCCCTGTGGGAGGCCTGCAAGCCGGCACCGGATGTTCTTTCCTTGCCTTCTCTTTCTTGTCCTCTCTTTTGCGGTACTGGGGTCCCACCCAGGGCCTCAGGCACGCTAGGCACGCGCCCTGCCATCATTAGCTACACTCCTAGCCCTTCTTCCTCTTTCTCAAATTTTAAAAGTGACACACAAGGTCATAAACGTGCCTAGAGGGCACTGACCCACCCCTGCCTTGCCGGTTCCTGCCCCCCTCTGCCTCCCACCCGAGCTCCGGCTGAGTGTGCTTTACCATAGATCCTGGAGCGAGATCGACCAGGTTCAGGCCTGACCCTTCAAAGGCCCAGACCAGGCTGCCTTCTGGAGGGTTTCCTAGGGGACTGTCCCTTCAGCCTGTGGAGAGCGGGGCTGGCCCTCGGACCTCTCCTAGGGGTGGTCACCCTTTAGGGAGGTGTTTGTGTGGTTATTTTCATTGTTTTGTCTCTGAGTCGCCCTGAAGTGGTTCAGGGCCAGGTTTTGGACGGAGCTGGAAGGGTCCCAGATTTGGAGGACAGGGCTAGTGGTGACGCCGAAACAGTCGCCGTGATGCTGAGGAGGATTCTCAATCGACAAAGCCACTCGAACATGAGTTTTTGCATCCACGTTGTCCCCACATGGGAGGCCCATGGCCGAGGCCCAGCGTTGGAGCATGGCAACATCGGGTGGCCTTTGGCAGGTCCCTTGAGCTCCCTGGGTCCTCCTCAGCAGCTTTGGAAGATGGCTCGGCAGTGGCCAGTGGTGTCAGGCAGAGGTGCTGAGCCGCTGTCAGGGCCTCCGAGCCTGACCCGTCCTCGTCAGGAGACTGGGCAGTGGTTCCGGGGCTCTCCGGCCTGTTTCTCTTCTGTG